GTAATTTATTAACAGGTATCATTCTAGAGCCTCTCTTCCATTATGTTGCAACTTATTTGCTTAATATACTGTCACTGGATCATATTTGTGAATAGCACTAGTAAGACGTATACCGTAAGTGGAAACTTAACACCGGCTACCTAGCATCGAAAGGGCACCTAATAGTCATGTTGCTTTTGGCTTGTTAATTCAGGAAAAGCATTCAGCCAAAGCCACATCCCACTATTCCATTCCAACAATCCCACCGCTATTCTGCAGTACAAATAGTTGGACTCAAAATTTAAATTTCGCTCTGCTAATAACACCAAAGGACCTGGTTAACTTTTTATTGGGCTTCAAAGACCCTTTGAATAGTTGATTATACCTGTTCTGCATCACACTAGCCCTTTAAAATGCGAACATTTTAGTGCAGTGAATTAGCTGAACAGTGGCGCCATTCTTGTGAATTCAGAAGTAAAAGCTCCAAACTTTTAGAAAAGTGTTGTTTTTATTAGTAAAAGCTAATTTCATTTATTTCCTCTCCTCATGTTACGTCTTCTGAGCTTAAAATCCTCTTATATTCAAATAATGCTTACATAAATTTTGGTGAAAGATTGTTCTTGAAACTAGTTTTCACTAAAGAATGATTGTAAAATTAAAGGGAAACATTATTTTATAAGCTTTAAAAGATATTAAACAAGGGTACTAGGAAGCTTATGCTGATGATGTCTAGCTTTCCTGTTATATTTTCAAGAGAACATAAAGATGACTAGTTTAAAGAATGACTAAGCAAACTAAGGAGGTCTCATTTCTGGCCATTTTACAGACAATCTTGAAGTAAGAGCTAGTCCTCTTAGCCCAAGATTTTAGCAACTATGGAATGGTTTCCCCTTAATACCTTTTCTCTGGTTACATTTTATCCTTTCCCAAAACTCTTGAGAAAGACCTTGTATTTATTCTAGGTTGACAGGGGCATCTCTTAACAACACATCAGATAGTTCTCAAATTTGTTTTTTTTTTTTTTAAAGGATTTGTTTAATGATAAGGTTTAAGGTACAGGACAGAGGGGCATACAGAGAGGTAGTATGTCTAAAAAGGCTCAAAACTCTAAGGAGGATTCTGATAATAACCTAGAGTCACTTACTTACACACTTTTTCAGTCTTAGACAGGTTTAGTTGGTGGAGATAGGGATAGCACATACTCTTGAAAAAAAGAGGATTCAGCACGCAAATGATTATTGTCATACTCTCTGCCCTAGAATTGGTCTTCAAATTGATAAGGCACTGACCAAATTTTTCTCACACTTTAACTCGAATCTACCCTTTCAATAAGCTCAGTGTTTGTATATACAGATCTCTTTTATTAGAACCCTCCATGTAGAACGCCTTCTAAGACACAAGCCATTTTTGGGGAAAAGAAAACAAAAAAAGGCATTTAAATAATTTTTAAAAGACTGATTTCACATGGAGAATAATTCATCATCAATGTGATTTAATACTAGTTCTCACATTCAGAAGTCTAGAGAAGGTAGTATATACCACATTGACTGTGAAAACAATCTGATTTTTTTTTTTAGAAAGAATATAAATCTAAACAAAAGAAAAACGCACAGTAAAATGTCACTGAAAAAGCCAGATAGACATCAACACGTGCTTTGTCACATCTAGACTTAGAAGAGTCATCTTACTGTTCTAGCAGGACATAATCAAATTCTCCATTTGTAAAAAGGGATCCAATTATTTATTGGGCCTTCAGAGCCTGAGATTTTGTTGGAACAGAAAAGGCCTTCTGATAGACAACACTATTGTAGTTATTACCTCATTCTCTGAGCAAGATGTTTTGTTGGACTAGTAATTTAATTGTGCTTCAGGAAATGGCTGGGAAACCAACAATAGAACTAGAGCCTCTTTTTGGTCAAAAAAGCAAGTGTTCCATTGTTTTTGATTCATTTTTCATTTGATAGCTTCTATCTGTACAGCAATAAACACGTAAAGCACAGGGTCTTATTTAAAAACAAACAAACTTAAGTATAGTTTGGACAGGAAAAATTTAAAATAAGCCTGAATAGTCAGATAAAACTTGAAACACACAGCAAAGAAGAGCAGATAGGATCCAGAAGATTACTTATTAAAGGACCCAAAACATAATGCATTTCAATCAGTCTCCTAACACTTCTTATGGCCCTCTAATAAGTCTTTTGGAAGACGATTAAAAATCAGTACAAATACTGTGCTGCTATAATCATCCTTGCTTTCAGTAGATTGAACATGTACCTATATCAAATATCAACACAGTTCATACAGTACATAGTGCAGTAGTCATATGGCATTTTCCACAGGAAATAGTTTTGTAAAAATGAAGCACATGCTTAGGAAGAAAGAATACTCGAATTCAAATTGTTTGGATCCCTTTCTATAACGTCAATACAACTAACATTTGCACAATGGAGAAAAGGAAGGTGTGTTTGCCCAACTCTTTTTTAGGCCTGACAATGTGGAGAGTTCTCTAAAAATAATACTCTGAAGACACAGCATGTAAGACTTGAACATGCATGGGAATCACTAGCAAATGTGTACGTTCCAAGTAAAATGAAATTTACTTTTGTTCCTGAGCTTTTAGAATTGGGGGTCTTATTTCTACACTAAAAATACACTTCGATGTCAGAGTTGTAAAACATGTGCCTCAAATGAAGTGTTTGTTGATGTCCATTCAGGGTTTTTGGACATGTAAGTTCTAGGGTTTATTCCCTGAATCAATTTAAATTCCCTCCTGAGTATATTCTGGGTAAGAGGAGGGAGGAAAAAAAGGACACATTTATGATCTTATTTCAAACACATAGAAATTGAAATGACAGCAGGCTTAATAAGATAGGAAAAAACTTCTCATCTTCCAATGAACCACTTAGGAAACTTGGTAGAACTTCAGTGATTTTGCTGTATTAGGAAATTCATTTGAATGAACATCAGTAAAACAAAAACAGTGAACTTCTGGCTGGTACCTATAATGTTTTAATTGATGACTATTACTTGTAATTGGTTTTAAATATTATGATAATTTTGGCATCAATGACAAGTTCCCAGAAATGGACCAATCTGAAGTAAGAGATAAATCAAGAATCTCGAATGTATTTGTGGGTCAAGTGGAATCATTACAATCAAATTTGGCAATTCTTCTATGTGTAAGTGGATTAAAGAGTTGAAAATATCAAACACACCTTCCAACACAACATGGTTCTGTCTTTGGCAAAACTATGACATCAGGCTCTGACTCTCAGTTGCATATTTTCGCTCTAACATGAGAACAGAATGGTTAGCCTGCAACATTAGCTTATATATATTTAAAAATCCACAGGTATCTCTATACTAACTCTTTTAAAGTACACACACTGTCAAAAACACTTATTTCTGAAAAGAAACAAAACACATTAAGGAATTTAAAAAAAATGAAAGACAAAAATTAAAGATGTGCAAAGTCTACATAGTAATACTGCTGGCTATGCAGATGGTGTCTTTGCTATATACCCAACATGGGTCAGACTTGGAGGACGCATGAATTGAAAAATGATACTCTTTTTGCCATCTTCCAATTCATGTCACTTTCTAAAATAAAACATTTTGAAGTCAAAACCATTATCTCATACAATAGACAAAAACAGAAGATAATGGACACTAAATCAAATGTTGTTTCTAACTGCCTTATATCAGATATATACTAAGCAATTGCTACACCCTTTTCAGAAACAGAAAGAAATCTACAGAACTTAACACTTAGAAAGACTTCGGCATCATAACATCCCCTTTCTCACCAGAATTGATCCTTATTTATTTCTGGGTTTAATAATATTACCTATTTAAAATTTCACAGGATCAAGGGCTAAATACTTATGGTAAAAGGAAAAAAAAAAGGTAACACCCCCTAAAAAAATATGTGTAAAATTATTCATTTTACACTAGGCTAATTTTATAAAAGGAATATGGAGATATAAATCAATTTCTAGAAAATGTCATGTGTTATTTCTTAATTTGAGCTACTTTTAAAATGTAAAAGGGCTGCAAAAGTTTACTGAATGATAATTGTGTAGCTGACCAAATAGTTAATCCTTGTTCAAGTGCTCGCTTTGAAGTTCTGAGGTGATAGGATTTAGACTGTATTGTAATTATTATTCTTCTCTTTATATTTCTCTAGTTAAATGGAGTGTTGCATAGAAGACAGCACAATTTGGTAATTTAAAACATAGATATAAAATTTAACTAATAGGATATGATTTCCTGTTAAAGGTCTTTACTAAGTTTCTAGAAAAATGTCTTATTATAAAGGGTAACTTGTAGAAGAACGAAGGTTTTTAGATTTAATCTCTGTCTCAAATTCATTCATACATTATATATTTTCCCTTTCAAAATGACTGTTTTACTACATCCATCTTAAGGTAAAAAAAAAAAATCCATGTTCAATTTATTAAAAAAACCAAAATCATGTACACAGTGGGAAGACTTTAAACCAATGTGCTACTGAGTTTCTTCTTGAATAATAATTAAAATGAATAATTTCAAGAAAATAAACTCTGGCACTCTGTAGTTTAAACACTATAAAAGGAAAGTTCTGGAATTCTGATCTCATCAGGTATGTAACATCTTATTGACATAAACAACATATGACTGGAAAAGTGGATGATCCTTCCAATTATGTCATATGGTTATGAAATCACCTTTGGGTAAGATGTCTAGTTTAAGATTATAATCCTCTCCTAAGTCTCTCTCCCTGTCATTCAATAATGCAAATGCCCGTAGAATCAGACAATGGGACTAAATTTTATACCCAGTTAGAAACATCCATGCTTTTCTGGATCTTTCAATAAAAAACAACTTCCCCTTCCCCACTCCAGGGTCTGGTGTATGACTACTTAGCCTTTGTGTCTCCTGCAGAAAATAATGTTCCCCATACAGTACTAAGAATTGCAAGTTTAGTGTTTAAAACAACAATAAAAACATTGACAACAACAACCCCTCCCCCACCCCCCCAATCACATTATTACAATTACAGTTCTTCCACTCTTGGTCTGAGAGAAAGTATGGGGCTACAGATGAATGGAGTATGAGAGAAGTTCTTAAAGTGGGCTGCTGGTATAATCCCTAAAATGTGAAAATTTCTTTACATCCACAGTTCAAACCCAGCTCCTAATGTAACCCTTAAGAAATGTTTTACTCTTTTCTTTAAAGAATATCTAAAAAATGTGATTCCCTCCCCCCCTCCAAAATTAGTAGAAAGTTAAAAGAAATGCAAACTAGCTACAATCTACCCTAAGCACAGCACCGCCAGAAGTCTCACACACACTATTTGGTGTTTCATGTTGTTTTTCCTTTCACTCTTTAAGGCAGTGGTTTCCACAGGTCAGTTCAGAGAAAAGAAGCATGGTCCATGGCAGTTCATGTTGCAACTCCAATTTTTCACTTTGGGAATATCACTCATTGTGAGTCCATTCCCTGAAATTAGTGCTTTTTGTTTGTTTGTTTGTTCAGTTCTCCAAAGTCTAGAGGCTGAGCCCGCAGGCTCTGTCCTGGCACAGATTTGTATAGCTGGCACCCACTCATCAGGTCCTTCCTCCACACTTTGAGCCACAGTTCACCTGTCTTCTTTTTTAGGTTTTTACCCTGTCTTTTATTCAAAAGTCATCAAGTTGGTAGGAACCTGAAAAACATAACAATTATGACTTTTATTTTTGTCAAACTGTCCCAGCATTTTAGGTCATTTAGGCAAGAAGCCCATGTCAAACTTTCTAATTTGAGATTATCCAGAGAACCCAAATTGTAAATTACAAAAAACATGAATATAGTATACTAAAAACATTCTCAGTCTAGTACAGTGGTGTCAAACTCAAATAGAAACCTACCCCTGTGAGCTGCATATTGACTTAAAACCCCCACAAATGATTTATGTTGTATTATACTTCTGTTCAGTTTGTTAAATGTTTCCCAGTTATATTTTAAACTGGTGGCTGTACTGCAATTTTGCTGGCAGCGAATTTGATACCTCCATTTTGGAGGGGCTAGAAGAAAAAAAAACACAACACAGACATACAGATCAAATAAAGCTTAGCTAAAATCTTTGTAGTGAATTAATGCGTGAAAAAGAAGTGCTTTGACTCTACTAGAGGAAGGATAGAAATTCATCTAATGAACATTTATTAAGTGCCTACTATGTGCCAGGCACTGTACTAAATGCTGGGGATACAAAAAGAAGCAAGACAGTCTCTGACTTCGAAAAGCTTACAATCTAACGTGGGAGACAACATGTAAACAAATATACACAAAGTAAGCTATATACAGGATAAACAGGAAATAACTAAAAAAGAGAAAGCACTGGAATCAAGAGGGTTAAGAGAAGGCTTCCTATAGAAGGTGGGATTTTAATTGGGACTTAAAGGAAGCCAGAGCAGATGCCACACTACTTTTCTTCTGGTTCTCTGTAATATATTGTTTCAGTCCATGTTTGAGCTATTTTTAGCAGTCTAATTACTTGAGGGTGGTAGAGAGTGTGTTTACTCTTTTATGTATTCCACTTAGACAATGCCTCCAATATGGGACTAAACCAACAAAAAAAGTCTAAAAGAATTAATGTACTTTCCAAAAAGAAGTTATTGTATTGAGGTAACATTTTATTTAAGAGATCATTTACTCTACTTAGGAAAACATCCATGAAATAAGAAATAAGTGAAAAAGACCCTTCATAAAGCCAAAACTGATATTACCAAGTCCATGCACTAAAAATCAGCAGTTTAGGGTTCATTCCCACTATAATATGTACCTCAATAGCCTCTGAAGTATCACCCTTTTACAACACATTTATATATGACAGAAGAGTTCATAATGACCTTTAGGAATTTAAAAAAAAAAGCTTATGTTCAGTTAGAAGGCAAGGAATTATATAGTTTCTTTTAGAAAGTGGGTTTTTTTTTTTTCCAAGTGGCTAAAATAAAGTCCTGGAACGTCAGTGATCTGGAAAATTCACTTACGTGCCTCATCTTATTTCCCACCTATGTTGGATGATGAATGATGAATAAGCAAAAATAGCAGTTCATGTTTGCATGTTTTACGTTTATAAAATGTTGTTGAAAAAGCACTATCGTCCTCAATTTGCAAATGAGAAAGTTGAGGCTCAGAGAGGTTAAAGTCCTACGGCTAGCAAGTGGCTCAGCCAGAGCTATAACCTAGCTCTCAACACTTAGGCTTTCCCCTATGACATAACTGTGTTGTCTTTCTGCATCCGACATTACCATTTTAGCAACAGGGTCAAGTCCCTAATGACTCATTTCCCCCGTCCTGAACTTGGAAGAGAACTATGGGCAACTCATAACTTCTCTGGGCTCCAATTTCCTTATCATACATATAAAGAGGAGGTTAGATTGGATTATATGTGTATAATGTTTTAATTTAAAAAGTACATTAATGTGTTTTGAGATATTTAAAGTGTCTTACAGCTTTAAAATTCTATGTAAATCCTCTGGAGTATATCTCTAAAAAGAAATGTCAGTGAAGATAGTGGTTAGTTTTGTCTTCCAGTGATAATGTAATTAAAAGGTTTTCTCTCATTATCAATTTTTTAAACCCACCCTGATAGAAGGATGAATGTTATTTCATGAAAATTATGTTATTTGTACAAGGAAAATAGGAGTGGAGCTAGTTAGGACAGAGAGAGAGGTAAGCAGCCCAATTGTTATACCAGCATTAGAGAGCTGTGAAAAGAACCAGGGGAAGACTTGTAGTATGATAGATTAGCTAATCTCTGGAAAACTTAGGGAGTCTTGGACAAGCGCTGAACATGACGAGAAGATGCAGGAGGTTTGGGTTCAGTCAGTATAGGACTGTACTGTCATGTGTAGAATATGCTCATTCCTCACCTCTGCCTTTTAATCTTAGCTACTGTAGAGACTTAGCTCATGAACCACTTTCTACGAGAAATCTTTTCGGTGGCTCTTAGTTATTAATGTTCTCTTCCTGCCCAAATCACCTCATATTTACTGACCTGTGTAGCCCCTCAGAAGAACATAAACTCTTTGAGGACAGGGACTATTTTGTTTCTGTCTTTGAATTTCTAGTGGAGTATTTATCTCAATAAATGCTAAATGAATTTGCACCAGTGAAGGAAACACTGATATTTAGATGTGGCATCATCAACCTAGTACCTAATATTTTTTTATTATATAAATTCATTTCTAGAAGCCATCTTGATACCAAAAGTTGTAAATCACCCTCTCTGGCTTCTGAATGGAAAACTGACTGTTACAGCAGTGACTTCAGAGGCTAATGGTTGAGTCTTGTCATAGAAAAGCCATAGGAATATAATGGGAAAAATAATATTTCCTTTTATAGCCTTTTACTTCATCCAGATTCCTTATAGGAGAGACCTGACAGTTAATTATCAGAGGTTTCTCTCACCAAATAATATTAATAAAAACTAAAATTTATATAGTACTCCAAAGTTTACAAGGTAGTTAGGTGGCACAGTAGATAGAGCACTGGGCCTAGAGTCACGAAGACTCATCTTCCTAAGTTCAAATCTGTTCTCAAACACTTACTAGATATGTGACCCTGGGCAAGTCACTTCACCCTGTTTGCCTCACTTTCCTCATCTACAAAATGGGCTGGAGAAGGAAATGGCAAATAAATAACTCCAGTATCTTTGCCAAGAAAACCTCAAATGGGGTCATGAAGAGTAGTCAGACATGACTGAAAAACGACTTTACTGAAGGTTTGCAAAACACTTCAAATTACTTTATTTGAGTCTCACAATGACCCTGTGAGGCAAGTATTATTTGCCACTTCACAAATGAGAAAACTGGAGCACAGAGTTCAATCAATCTCCAGCAATCTTGGAGGTGGCTGGCCATTCTTGTGTCATTCATTACTCACTCTGGCTTCAACTTTCTTTGCTCTACCCTGAAGAGCTGTGTTATTCCTTCTTTGATCCCCTCCTAACTCCCCAACAATAGCTTAAAAACAAAACAAAACCCAAACAAATCGGAACAAATGACTCTTCCTTTTGTCCTCAGCTTCGGTTCATTTCAGACTTAGGTAATCCTAACACAACTTTTATGGAGATATTCTCTTATGTCCCCATAAAGTGGCCTCAAATGTCATCTAGTCTACTAGGTACCTGAACAGGAATCTTCCTTTACAATATGCTCCAAAATAAGTCGTTAAGCTTCCACTCAAATATCTTCAGCAATGGAGATCGATGATAATAAGCATTCACATTAGAATAGTATGTTATGTTTACCAAGTGCTTTCCTCTTGACAACCGTGTGAAGTATGTAGTAGTCTAAGTATCATCATCTCGGCTGTACAGAGAGAGACTGGATCTGAGCAGATAAGTGACTTGCTCACGATTTTTATAATCATGTCAAAGGCTCAAGTGAGGTTTGAATTTAGGCTTTGTGAATCTATGCCCAGCACTTCTATCCCCTAAGCAGCCTGCTGCCCTTTTGTTTTCATTCTCTGTTACTTGCCTTTGTTTCCATCTTCCCTTGACAATCTTTACTGATATCTTTTAGCATGATTTTGAATTGCTTTCTAAAAAGGTTAAACTATATCTACTATAATTGTTAGAGAACTTCAACTATATACATGCCATGTCTTTTCTAAATTTGGTTATTAAGTCCCCATTCATGTCAGGCTCTGTAAGGCAGTGAGTGACGTTTTTTCTTCTAAACTGAGATCACTTCTGTGTCTTTCTAATTTTATTTGGGAGAGCTTCTCGTCCCCCCGGGGTAATTCTTCCTGTAAAATGTTAGCCTACTGGATCCCAGTAAGACTATTTCTGAAATCATTTTCAAGCATTTATTACATACTTACTATGTGCCAGGAATTGTGATAAACCCTGTGGACACAGAGAAAAACAGAAAACAATCCCTAACCTTAAGGAACTTATATTCTAATGGGCAGAATAATCTGTACAAATTTGTATGAATTGATATTAAGTGAAGTGAACAGAACCACGAGAATGATTTATGTAATAACAGCATATTGTAAAGATGATTGGTTGTGGTCCTTTGCGCTTGAAGAAGATCAAAATGACATTACTATGCAGGGGTCAAGGTACAGTGTGTCTGACTGGCTAATCAGACCAATTAAGCTCAGAGGCTCTACCACAGGTCGGGCACAAACAGTCCATATGAACATCTGGAGTGGTGATGCTTCCACATTTGCGCATCCTACTTTTCTTTTAAGCTACTGTGACATTGTTCTACTCATAGAGCACAGCACCTGCTTTGATGGGCATACCATGCTGGCAGGTCCTATGCCAGTGTTTCCCATGTCTCACAACTGATCGCAAAGTTTGTCAGAGAGACCTTGACAGTGTCCTTGTATTGCTGCTTCTGAACACCAAGTGAGCGCCTGCCTTGTGTGATTTCTCCATAAAGAGTTTTTTAGGCAAATATCTGTTTGGCATTCAAACTATGTGACTAGTCATCAGAACTGCACTTTCTGCAGTACAGTTTGAAAGCTTGGTTGGTCAGCTGGAGAAAGGACCTCAGTGTCTGGTACCTTACCTTGCCAGATGATCTTCAGAATCATCCTAAGACAATTCAAATGGAAGTGGTTCTGTTTCCTGGTGTGGTGTTGGCATACTGCCCAGATTTCACAGGCATACAACAATGAGGTCAGCACAACGGCTCTTTATATCTTCAGTCTGGTAGGCAGTCTAATACCTGTTTTCTCCCACAGTTTCCTCTGGAGCCGCCCAAATGCTGAGCTACCTCTGCCAATGTGTACGTCAACCTCATTATCAATATGTATACTGTCAAGGTAAGTGAACTTATCCATAGCATTCAAAGTTTCTCCATTTGTGCTCTCCATTAATTAGTAGTTTCAAATATGGATGGTGTGGTGCTGGCTGGGTAAGAACTTCTCTTTTCTTGCCAGGTCAAAATTAGCACAAGCAGCAGAGAACTGATCCATACTCAGCTGCATCCAACCTTAGAGGCTGCACTGAGTGCTCAATCATCTGCAAACAAAAAGTCACCTACCAACTCTTCTTCCACTTTAGTTTTGGCTTCTAGCCTTTTCAAGTTAAACAATTTACCATCAGTGCAGTAGTTGACTTGGATGCCAATTTTGTCCTCGTTGAAGGCTTCTAACAACATTGCTGAAAACATCATGCTAAAAGGCATGGGAACAAGCACACAGCCTTGCTTCACTTCGTTGGTGACTGGAAAGTGCAAGAGCATTGTCCACCATTCAGACCCCAGGAAAGCATGCCATCATGAAATTAATGTACAATACTAATTAACTTCTCCAGGGAACTAAATTTTGCCATGATCTCCCACAAGCCCTCATGATTGGCAGCATCAGAGGCCTTGGTCAGATGCACAAACGTGTACAGACCTCTGTTCTGCTTCTGGTATTTCTCCCAGGATTGTCGGGCAGCAAACACCCTATCACCCATTCCTCGGCCCTTTCTGAAGCCACATTGACTCTCAGGTAGATGACCATCTTCCACATGAAGGATCAGCCTATTAAGGAGGACTCTGGCAAGAATCTTGCCAGCAAGGACTAAAAAAGAAATTATCTCCTGCTCCTCCCTCCTTCCCCCCCTCCCCAATTGTCATAGAACAATCTATTTCCTTTACTTTTATAGAGATGGACAATGCAGGCATCCTTGAACTCCTGAGGAATAGCCTCCTCTTGCCATAAAACCCAGAAAATTTCATTCAGCTTTTGTATGAACAGTGGACTCTCTGCCTTTTAAATCTCAGCTGGAATAGAATCAGCACCAGGAACTCTGCCATAGGAGAGGAGCCCAAAGGCATTCAACACCTCTTCTTCAGTTGGAAGTCTGGCTAGAGAGGGACTGACTTCAGCCTCAGGTATACAGTCAACGGCTTCCATATTGGCTGATGAGGGTCTGTTGAGAATGCTATGGAAATGTTCAGCTCACCTCTCCAGGATCATGTTCTTATAACTAATCTGGCTCCATCAGTGCTGAGGAGTTGAGATGCACCGTAGGTCTTTGGCCCATAAACAGCTGTCTGGATATCATAAAGGCTTTTTGGATTGTTACTAGCAGCATAAATCTGAATGTTCTCTGCCTTCTTCATTGAGTCAAAAATCCTGCATTTTTCTAAGCTTTGCTTGTACTTTACTTTTGATGGGGTTAAATGCTGCCTTCTTAGAGAGGGAGACAAACAAATCATCCTGGTGGTCAATGTTGTGGAATTCTCATTTTTTGTTTAGCAGCTTCTGAATTTCCCTATCATTTTTATCAAACTAATTTTGATGTTTTTGAGTGTTCTGACCCAGATGAGCAACGCAGTGCTGTACACCAAATCCCTGAAAGCTGCCCACTCCTTTTCTGCTCCACTGTTGCCCACTGTGTGTTGGCTCAGATTTCCCTCCAAGTCAGCAACAAACTGTTCACCCTGGGAGAAGTGGTTTAATCTGTTGACATTAGGTCTTCTTGTAGACCTCTCTGCCTTGGGGCTGCTGCTCTTGTTGAATGCAAATGTTTTGCTTGGAGAGGATAAGTCTATGATTAGTCCAGCCTTCTGCACCTCACGTCACCTTCATCACTCTCACATCCTGTCTGTCTCTTCTCTTTACAAAGACATAGTCTATTAAATGCCAACGTTTGCTGTGAGGGTGCATCCATGAAGTTTTTTGTGTTTAGGTAAACAGAAGACAGTGCTGGTGATGAGACGCACTTGGTCATGAGATGCACAAGTAGTAAGTGGCCCTTGCTGTTGGTATTTCCTACTCCATTCCTGCCAAGCCTAACTCCGGCGTTCAAGTCGCCCAGAACTACAAGCTTGTCCTCCTTTGGCACATTGTTGATGATGGCCTCCAACTCTTCACACAATTCTTCTTTGACCTCATCAGGGTTTGTCATGGTGGGAGCACAGGCACTGGCAATGGCTGCACGGTGCTTTCCTGCAAATGGCAATCACGCTGTCATGAGCCTGTTGTTCACTTCTTTTGAGAGGCATATAAGCTTGCTGACTAGATCAGTTTTTTTCCTTTTCCCTTTTTTTTGGTGAGGCAATTAAGGTTAAGTGACTTGCCCAGGGTCACACAGCTAGTTAGCGCCAAGTGTCTGAAGCTGGATTTGAACTCGGGTCCTCCTGACTCCGAGGCTGCAGCTCTATCCGCTGCACCACCTTCCTGCCCCCTGACTAGATTAGTTTCGATTGTGAAACGTATGCCAGGTTCACAGTGTTCCCCATCACTGTGGTCACTCCACAAAAACATGTAGCTAGCTCAGACTTTGGTAAGTTGGCCTTCATTTCGCAGCCTTGTTTCACTCAGGGCTACTATTTGGATGTGAATGAAACCTGTACAGTTCTCTTGCAGCAAGAGCTGTTCATCTTTCAGGTCTACTGGATTTCTTGTTTTCCATAAGAATGTGCACATTCCATGTACCAATGGTGAATGGAATCATCTTTGCAAACGTTTTTGTACTTTTTTTGCGTTTCGACACAGAAGGGTGGGATCCCTGTCTACTGTGGTAAGCAGTGCAGGATTGAGTGAAGCAGACACTTTTTAGGGCACCTTTTTTAGCCCCTTCCTCACGTTAGGAGGGGAGCAGTGTGGTCCTTAAAAGGCAGCTCAGACGCCCAGGTGGATGCAGAATCCCACTGCTGCTTCACTTCAGAGAGAAGATGATCCTACGGCCGGGACCGCCTGTGTACAGGGTTGTGACTATAGATCCCAGGGTATCGGCACCTGCTGCTTCATTACTTGCCCGTCTAAGGCTGATAAAAATGGTAAAATGGTTAAGGTGATGTTTTTCAACTTGTACATTAATTGGACTTCAGTGAGGCATAACTCTGTCAAGTTGTTGGCCTCACTCTCCCTTTCAGAGTCATCAAAGTCCAGCGGCAATACAAAAGTCAAATGACTGTTGATGACTCGGGGTGCAGTAGATGACCTTGGGGTCTTTGATGTCTAACCAAGCTCTAAGCACTCCACACCTGCTTCCATTGCCTTCGTGGCCTGTTGGAACAAATTGTTCACATTGGGGACAGGGGAAAATAGCCCCTAATTCACTGACAAGTCTGAGCTCCCCTGCAAAAATGGCTTAGCAGGGTGTGGCTGCTATGCATGCTACAGTTTCTTGGAGCCACAGATGACAGATGGGTGGCAGGTGGACACCACAGGTGGAAAGTAGTCCTGAAAAGGGCTCAGTAGCCCTCCCACTAGAAGCAGCGGTCTTTCCTGACACCCACACACTTGAGACACATGGGTAACACAGAATTGTAGTAATGCTACACACCTTAACAAGAGAGATTTTAACTATATGAATCTGAAGACTTAGAAGGTCCAATTTATAGACTTTAATTTTGTCACCTCATTTTATGATTCAAGATGCCTACAATTTAAACATCTCTCACACCTTTCTGGAACTTCTATTCCAATCTGAGAGCTTCACAGAGACAGCTTTCAAGTCTCCTGGCCCTTCGGGGATATGCTCTTCCCAACTTCTGCCTTTACAAGGCAGCTATGTGGCATAGTGAAGAGTCTGTTGTACTTGGACACTGGAAGGCCTGGGTTCAAATTCTACCTTAGAAATTTATAAGCTGTGTGATGTTGGACAAGTCACTTTGCCTTTCTCATTCCTCAGTGTCCTTCATCTATAAAATGGGGATAATAATATCTCAGGATTGTTGTTGTAAAGATAATCAATCCAATGACCAACCAAAATTCCAAGGGATTCAGGATGAAATATGATATCCACCCTCTGCCTCCAGATAGAGAAATAATGGACTCAAGTGTACACAGTGAAACTTACTTTTTTTCCATTTCTTTCTTTTACTTGCTTTTTTGGGAGGGATGGGTAGAGAGAAGGAACCATACCTAATATGGAAATTTGTTTTACATGTCTATACATATTTGTAAAAGGGTTTTGTTTTTCTTGCCTTGTCAATGGGTGGTGGGAAAGGCAGGGGGACAGGCATGAATTTGGAACTGAAAATACAATTGAATAAAAACCAAACAAATAAAGGCATATATGAGATACATATCCAGAAATGAGGGATTGTAAAAGACAGAGGTGAGCTGGAGTGCAGGGGGAAAGGGGTCGGAGAGAGAGAAGAAAGAATGACAGCCAAAGGCAAAAAGATGGAAATGAAGCATTGTACAGTGTGATAAATAGAAAGATAGAAAGTAGGCTGATATGGCTGGATCATAATGTGTAAGAAGAGGTTTGCCATCAATTTTCTTCTTTATCATGAACTTCACAGCGGAGTGACCACATGCCCTTTAGGTTACTCTAGTTTCTACTTCAACAACCAGTTTCTCCTTGTCAATTAGAATTAGCTCCAGAATAACAGTTCAAATTATTTCTTCTACCTTTTGAAGGATGAATTTATAATTAAAGCTTGTCATAACCATCAGTTCCTCTACTTTTGCAAGAGAGGGAGTTCTAGCAGACATCCAAACAGGTGAAGTCTGTCATTACTGTTTCTTGTGTGCAGGTCTAAGAAGTAACCTAAACTCTACATCTAATTCCTCCTTCTGCCAAGATAATCTGGTCTAGATTGCCTCCATGACAATATCACTTCTTTCTTTCTCCAATGATCCTTATCCAAATACCCTGGCCATATTTCCTTACTCAGCTTCTTAGATTTCTTTACTCATCATCATCAACATAAATGGCTTTCATATGGCACTAGAAAGTCTGCAAAGAACTTAATACCTGCTGTCCAGCTGAATCTTATAAAAATCCTATGAAGGAGGTATAATAGGGGATAAATTATGCTATACTGATTCTTTTTTTTATTTTATTTTTAGGTAATTTGGGGTTAAGTGAC